AACTCAGCAAGCAACAGGCACAAGGTGGGGTACACCCTGGAGGGGATGTCAGTCCCATCACAGGACGGATGCACTCACACTCGCACTCGCACTCACACTCGCAGACTCTCACACTCGCACGCTCACGCACTCGCACTCACACTCGCGCACTCTCACACTCGCACACTCACGCACTCGCACTCACACTCGCACACTTGCACACTCACTCACACTGGGACAATTTTCCCAGAAGCCGATTAACCCTCCAGCAGCTCTGGGCTGCGGGAGGAAACCCACGCAGACAGCACTCCAGGTCCAGAATCAAACCCGGGGCCCCAGCGCTGCCAGGCAGCAACGCCAACCACTGTGCCGCCCCGCCTGCTGTGTTGCATGTGTCCATGAAAAGATTTCCGTGACAGCGAGCTGAGTAAGGCACGCCGGCGGCTCGTATGTGGAAGGATCAAAAGGTTCATTCTAAATACATCGGTTCTAAAAAATGTGTTTCTCTAACTGACAGTTAAAGTAATGGGGGAAGATGAATGAATGAGAATGGAGAAGAATGCAGACCAGAGAGGCAGTGACAATCATCTGCCTGCTCTGTCTGATCTCCAAAGAGGGCTTTTTTTATCAGATGAATGGTTAACGTATCAAACCATTGATCTGCACTGTCACTTCTTGCATCTGTGTAAGCCCAACCACCTGGAACCTGGCCTGGTGAAAGTGCGTGAGCCTGGATTGCTTCTGGTCCAGCCGGGCAGCGATCGGAATCTCCTCTCCAGACTCGCACTATAGCGGCCCTTAAACCCACACCCGCAGCTCCAGAGCTGCTCTGGGAGGGCTCTCTGTTGGCCAGAAGCCTTTGGCATCTCCCCTTAACGCAGCCCAGCACTGTGCCTTTGGGATTGGAACTGGCAGTTCTGATGTCTGGGTGCGGGACTGATTATACGGTTTGTCCCCAAACCAGATGGGCCCTTGAACGTGTCCATAATATAAAATAAGTACAATGCACTTCAGAATCAGAGGGAGCTCATTGCTCTTATAACAGGACGCAGAACATAAAAAAAACAGTTTCGAGTCGCTCGGTTTAGTGTAGAATTGAGCAGGAAAACAGATTCTGACTGCAGAATCAGGTCAGGGCACCTGTATGTAAAATAAGGTAACAGTCTGGACTACAGTGTGTGTTCCACTGATTTGATGCGATCTGAAATAGTCAGCTTGCCCAAATTTATTATAGATTCGGTATTTTCCTCATCACACCAACCGCATCTACAGTAAGGAAGGAGCCGATTGCGTGTGCTCTCCTGCGGCCGAGCTCTCGGGTTTCACCGATATCCCTCCCCAGTGGAGAAAGACGCTCCGCACCCAGCTCGCAGAGCCTGGGCTGTTACTGACTCAGCGTTCGCAAACAAAGACCTTTGGGGAAAGCAGTTCCCCTCGACCAGAGATCAGAACAAAAGCAAAGGACCTTGAGGGGTCCTGGAAAAGGGCCCCCGTATTGCTGGAGAAGATTTCCCGGGTTCTTCAGAAAAATGCCTGGGTGAGATCAGTACACTGCTGTCGACCAGCGAGCGCGGTGCAGATAACGGCCTCCTCTCGTCTGCACTAGTCCGTTTTAGGCTCCCTGCAAGTCTTTGCAGCCTTAAAAGGTGCCGATAGGACCTGCAAACTTGCAACCTCAGCTGGCTAGACAGTGCACACTATTGCCCTGAGCCCCCACACGACAGGGCTAGACAACATTTTCCATATTCCATACTCCACTTCCCCTTTGTATACAAAATACAAAAAT